AAATCTGAGAAGTGAAAAGTAGCGGTTCGGAACTTTGCGTCGCGATATCTCCGCTCGTAGGGCACGTACAAAATAAATAAAAGCACTTTTATTATACAATTCGCGTGGTGGCTATCGATTGAGCATACATAGAACGCGATCGATTCAGCCGTTATATGAGATCCGATAACCTCGATATGCCGCAATTCTTCGGTTCGCGTAAAGGAGGCCACGGCAGTGTCGCTTTGCTTTGGCTTAGCGCCGAGACACTACCAGTGTCTCCAGATAAAAGAGTTCACCAATGTAACATCCACAAAGTGCCAGAAAATACGTTGCCACCACTTTTTACTTTTCCTGTTGATTTCATAATACGACTTGAGCATATCAGCTTTATCAACGCAACCCATAAAAGCATTATAGTCTACGCATATTTGTGGACAAGTTACTTCTTTCAAAGATCCATCTTTTTGCCTCCTGTTGGCTTGAGAAATTTTAGAAGCATCATGGAAATTAGATAAGAAATGGACAGGTTTCTTATCTATCCATTTCAGCCAACTGACTCCGTTATATGAGGAGCGGAATTCACTATCACCAACTGACATTTCTTTTTCTTTTTTCTGTAATTTAGGTAAATATTTTCTATCTTTCCTTACAGTCCCACATGCCAATATTTTCAGACATAACAAGTCTGACATCAATGTAACGGTGGTAAAATAATTATCAAAAAAAACACAATAATATTTTCCTATCAGATCGTGAGTCAGATCTTTGACTACTCTTTCACCAAGGAACTTTTCCGACTTATCGTTCGCTTTTCTGGTATAAATCTGGAATTCACAGACATATCCATATTTGTCAGCTCTAACCCAAACCTTATAGCCCCGCTTGATAGGTTTCATTGGCAGATACTGCTTTATGCTATTCCTACCTTTGAACCTAATCATACTTTCATCAAGGGCTTAATGTCTGTCAGGACCGTAGAAAATTTTAAATGTTCCAGAAAGATTATCCAGCAATGGTCTGACTTTGTACAGTCTGTCGAAATTGGGATCGCCCCTTGGTGGTTCCTGAGAATTATCATTCAAGTGTAAAGTAGATAAGAGTAATGAAAATCGCTTCACAGGCATGACTGAAGAGACGTATGGATCATTCATCTGAAAGTTCGTAGACCAATAGTCTCTATACGATGGTGACCTTTTGATCCCCATTATTATATTTAGCCCCAAAAACTTTTTTATCTCATCATTGGTGATGGGTTCAAATTTCAATTTTTTCTGAGTACAATAAAGATTTGACTGTTCTACTATGATGTCAATGAAGCTTTCTGAAAACAAACATAAGAATACGTCTCCTGGAGTTTTCACACTATCAGGGAGATTCTTTGGACCTACGTGTTCAAAAAAACCAGGTTCAAAAAACGATCTCTTTTTTGCTTCCCAGATACCGTCTGTCCTTTCAAGTCGACAACTTAGTGGAGTATCATCCTCTTCGTCAGTATGGTCAACTGCTTCAAGATCTGGACATAATATATTGTCGGATATATCAGGTGTCTCCTCTATAGAATCTTCAGGATCATACTCATCTTCACTGCTCTCGGTATTTTCTGACTCCGCATCACTAGGTATATGTATAAACTCTTCCATTGCAGACATGGTGAAGAATAAAGGTCCTTCTTTATAAAGTTAGCAGTAGACATATTTTGTATAAATGAGAGGTCTGTAAATATTTATACTGTAGGGAGTCGAAAACGCTTCCCCCTCTCCATCATCTTAATAGGTATAATATATAAAAATAAGTAATAATAGTACTCAGACACTGTAAGAGATCGAATCCTTTCTTAGACAAAGGTTACCAGAGTCACTGATTATGATTCTGAAATCAAGATTTCGGACCTCACGATGGTGAATCCAGAATAGCAGCTTATAGATGTATGTCCAATAGATTATCCTCTATCAGTTTTTCAAACACGAATCACGTGTAAAACATAATTTTGATACGATAGTAGGCAATTACGTTTAGAAAATTATGAATGTCTGAACTCGGAACTCAGGTGTATGATTGTCGACCCGAAAAATCTCATGAAGCCGCCATATAGGGTCCACTTTTAGGAATTTCAAAAATTTGATACTGGATCCGTAATCAGCGACCCCGAAAACCCTTTTATACAAATTTTCATAAGATTACCTTAAAAACTCTGTCCATGGCCGAATTTATTCGAAAAAATTAAAAATTTTCCGTCTTTGATTGTTTATAAATAATTAAATAAATAAATTTTCAAATTTTCAATCAAAGCATTACGAAGCCTAAGTAATAATGATAGTGTAGAAGTTTATTCGAGAGCGATTGAGCTGAAAACGGTCGCAGTATGGATAAAAAACTGAAAAAAGTTTGGTGTATCATATATGATACGCTGCCCCTCAAAGGGTTAAACGATTAACAAATATTGTTAATAACAAAAAGGGATACAATGTAGAGTCGAGTTATCGATGGGTAAAATGGGAAAAAAGAGACGCGCAACAAAGAACACAGGAAGCTGGAAGGTGAGCGAAAGAGGGGGGACTGTTCGCTGAGGATGATGAGAGTAGGGGTGCGGTCAAAGTCTCACTACAAATGTTTTGAAGCGTTTCAAGTGCGGTCAATCGAACGCTTAAAAATATTCTTGCCACAGGTATGACGTCATGAATACGTCATCATTTTCGCTTCCAGCTCGCTTCCATTCTTGCTGCCGAAGGAGGTAGTGTAGCTGAAGCGTTACGGTTCAAATTTATGAACGCGGGAAAGTGGCGATCGGTTGCGATCTTGCGACAATTATAAATTCGTGTATGGTTTGTAATAATAAAGGACAAGATGCCGCAAATTGCTTTATTTGATCCCAATAGTGAAAATACGTACATATTTGATGTGACTAAAGCAGATGCAAAAAGAGCTAGTGAAGGTAAGAAAAATATTTTTCTAACCTATTATTTAGCTTATGAATTGGGTATAGGAATAAGTTTCCGCCCATTGTAGAAAAATGTCGTTAGTAACATTGCTTGTGTGTTTGATAGAACGGCAACACATGTGTTTGAAAGGTTTGTGTTCAAATTTTTGAGCCCAATAGTTGGCATTCGTTCAAAGCGTAAAAAAGAGTAACTTTTTTTGCGTTGAAGATGTCGGAATTTATTCCAAAAAAGTAACATTTGCGGGAAGTTTTACTCCGTTATTTTATTTTAAAAAAAGTGCTGCAGAATCGCATCGTTTGCTCGTAGATGTTTACGGTGAGCATGCTCCATCGAAAACCAGTTGTAAAGAATGGTTTCGGCGATTTAACAGTGGTGATTTTGACGTGCGTGACAAAGAACGTGAAGGTGCACCGAAAAAATTTGAAGATGCAGAATTGCAAGCATTACTCGAAGAAGATTCATGTTTATCGCTCGATAAGTTGTCAAAATAGTTAAATGTTGATAGATCTACTGTTGGAAAACGTCTACACGCAATGGGAATGGTGCAAAAAGAAGGAAATTGGGTGCCATACAAATTGAAAGAGAGAGACGTATGGTCATCTGCGAGATGCTTCGTCAACGATAACAAAGGAAGGGTTTTCTACATCGTATCGTAACTGGCGATGAAAAATGGATCTACTACGATAACCCTAAACGCTTGAAAACATGAGTGATGCCAGGTGAACCAGGTCCATCAACGCTAAAACGAAATATTCATGCTTCGAAGATTATGTTGTGCATCTGGTGAGATCAGAGAGGTGTTATATATTATGAGCTGCTCAAACAGCTCAAACCGTCCGAAACCATCATTGGCGATCGTTATTGATTACAACTGATACATTTAAACCAAGCTTTGAAAGAAAAACGACCGGAATGGGACAATAGGCACAACAAGCTGATTCTGTTACATGACAACGCTAGGCCACACGTTACAAAACCGGTCAAGAAAGACTTGGAAGGAGTAAAGTGGGAAATTCTGCCCCACCCGCCGTATTCACCGGACATTGCTCCTTCAGATTTCCATTTGTTCCGATCCATGCAGTCGGCCCTTTCTGGAGAACGATTCAATTCTTATGAAGATATCAAAAAATGACTTGATGAATGGATCGCTTCAAAAGAACCAGATTGTTTTATTCGAGGAATCCGTTTATTACCGGAAAAGTGGGAGAAAGTTGTCGCTTCCGAAGGAGCATACTTTGAATAAACTCACTTCTATAGATTTGTTTAAATAAACACATCTTTTTCTTTTCAAAAAGAGCGGAAACTTATTCCCATACCCAATATTTAATTTTATGGATATGGGGAAATGTGTCAAAAAATCCAACTCAATGCTTATAAGTTAAATTTTAAAGGTGGTTTAAATAAAAACAATATCAATCAAAATGAGCAATAGCCACAGCACAAGACGTTATTGTGAAGTCATATATTTAAAAATATCGTAACAATAATAAAAATTTTCGTAGACGTTTCGGTCAAAATTTGACCATCTTCAGTACAATGAATTATGATTTTCGCATGATTAAATTAATATAACATAAATACACTCAATTATACACCAGACAACCAATAAGTATTAAAATATCCGCAATTAAAAAGTCGTCATATAAAACACTTGATGAGGTTACAATGTTCAAAATTCAGATAAATGTTTTGAAAAAATCGCATTAAAACAGTCGTCAATTAAAATTATATCTTGATAATTTACAATTGTTCAATTCACCTGATGTTTATTCCTTCATACTTGAAAAATTAAGTCAATAGAATTGCCAAAATTACAGTCGTCAGTTTTATATTTTTATTCTCTCAAAATGTGATCCTTTTATTTTTGAAAATTGAAGCTTTTTGAGAACTCGTGAGAACAACGTAATTGCCAAATTCTAAATAAATTTTTATAACAGTAATAATTAACAGAAGAAATTAATACCAAATTTTCATTAAAACGAAAGGCGATATTAGATAAAAAATCTATCTTATTCTGCACACGGTTCCTTTAATGTAATTAATTCAGACTTATTGTAAAAATTTTTTAAACCATTTGAGAATCTACTGCGAGAACAATTCTTGACAATGTGTGACAAACATATGATCAGCAACAGAATTTATAAACAATTTAAGCAAATTGGAAAGGGAAGAAAGGAAGAGGGGATTGTTCTTAGAGAGTAGAGGAGTAATTATCAATAATTGGAAGGTAAATTTCAGGAAACTTTTCCGTATCACTTTGTTTGTTAAGTCCACTATCTTGTTTTTTTTATATGTATCATTTCGGAAACCATTCTTTTAAAATATGAATATTCAAAATCTAGGATGATAGTACCTTCCCAATCCATCTTATGATTATAATTTTGTCTGTGCTGAGAAATGACAGACAAAGAACTAGAACATTCTTTATATCGTTTTTATGCTCTTTTAAACGTGTGTTTAATTTTCTTTTTGTCTGGCCCACATATGATTGATTACAGTCCAGACAATTTATTTTATATACCACATTAGAATGATTATCTTTTTTAATTTTGTCTTTACCAGTTTTAATGAATTTGTTCAAACAATTCATTGGTTTATATGCAATGTTAAAATCAAATTTTTGTGAAATGGATTGAAATTTTTCTGAGATATTATTTAAATAAGGAATGGTGAAGTATTTTTTAATTTTAATGGAATCCGAATTAACAACATTATGATGATCTTTGATATTATCAAAATTATTTTTATGAGATAGCATTTTGATTCTGTTATTTATTGTCGAAAACAAGAAATCTAATGGATATCCGTTCTCCTGAAAATTACTAATTAAAGAGACAATATTATCATTATGAAATTTTGGATGGGCGAGGAACAATATTCTGTCAAGCTGTCCAATTACAACACCTCTTTTATGTACTAATGGATGATTCGAATGGAAGTTTAAATATCTACCCGAATTTGTTGGTTTCTTATAATTGTCAAAAATAATTCTTCCGTTCGTC